GCACATCCTCAAGCACCGGGCGCTTTTTGCAGGTAAAGTCCACCTCTCACCTGCCCACCCAGTGGGTGCTCACCATGGTGGGTGCCCTTCATGCCCCTTTCCCCCCGCCACACACAGAGACCTTTGGTGCCATCCTGACCTCGTCGGACCCCATGCACCTGGGTGCTGGGGGCATGGCCATGCTGACACTGAGCGACACTGAGAACAACCTGCACTTCATCCTCATGGCACGGGGGCTGCTGGAGCCTGGAGCTGGGGGTGAGGGTGGGCACGGGCACTCCATGGGGCCTGGTGCTGCCTGGGGTGGCTGCGTAGGGCTGGGGAGGGCATGGTGTGTACGTAGCTTGGGATACATGGGTCAGTATCTGTAGGGTGAGGGTGGGTTCATGGGCTTGGGGTAGGGCTTAGGGTGGGTACAGGGGCTGTGCATGGTGAGGGGGTTGTTGAGGTGTACGTAGAAGTTGTTGCATGATTTGGGGTGTGCATGGGTGGGGGAGTGTGGTCCCCCATGGGGGAGATGGGGCCACTGGGGGATGTATGGGCTGTAGGAGTCAGCGTGCAAAAGAATGGTTTTGGATGAGGGTTGTGCAAGGATTCAGGGCTTGCAGAGGGGGATGGTGTGGGTCACAGTGTGTGCGGGGATCCAGGTGTGCAGGACAGGACAAGCAGCTGGCAAGAAAGCCAGGGATTGGGTGAAAGAGTTTTGGGGTGGTGGGCACAGAGAGGTGGGTTTAGGGAGCAGAGGGACAGTGATTGCAGGCCCTTGTCCAGCAAGTCCAACCCCCTGTGTCATCGCCAGAATCTTCCTGGGTCCCACTGCGGGTCTGCATCCTGCACGAGGGCCAGACGCTGCGGGAGATCCGCGCCAACATCACTGCAGAGGTAAAATCATCTGCTCCCCTGCGTGCTCCAGCAGCTGCAATGCCTGCCCATGCTGGGGCTGACCCGTGGCACTGTGCCCCCCTCCTCATCCTCGGCAGGATCCTGACTTCGCAGAGGGGCTGGGTGGGCTGTTTGCTCAACGACTGCAGG